GCGGGCTAAGCTATAGCCTGGGCGAGGTTAGCCTTTTGGAGTGCCCATTATAATAACATTTAATTTCAGGAAGAAATTCGAAGCAAATCTCAAAAGATACGGGGAAGAGAGAATGAAATCAGACCTTAACAAGTTTTCTCAGCTTAATAAGGAGTTGCTGGACATGTGCATAAAACCATCTTTAAATCTTCAAACATCATCAATGGTAAAAGCAGTTTCTTTGAGACAAAACGCGCCTAAAAATTGTAATGACGTAATGCTGACCAGAGAAGATGCAACAAAATATTTATCAGAAATACAGATGCTTCGAGTTAAGGCAGTCGGGAATAACAAAGCTGCAAGCTAAAAAGGGCTATTTTCTTATCTGTGTAAAATGTCTCCAAAATATGATGAGTTTTGTGCGGATTACAATATCCCTAAATTAAATAATCCAAAAATTCCAAACTTAAAACAATTACTTATTTTGTAAGGTTACTCAGTTTAAATGAAAAGTAAAAAATGGCCAAAATTATGTTTTTTTTTTTTATCTATTTCTACAATACAATTACAATTGTAGTTGCTACTTATTAATTTTCTTCCAACTTTTGACAAATATTCAACAACATACATAAATAAAAACTCCCTTCAAAATAACATCAGATAAAAAGTTTATAAAATTTGTATAAAATAAAAAAATGCCTGAATTGATTGCGAAAAAATTGATTTTGAAACAATTAAAAAAAAAATATTATTTTATACTAATTTTGTAATATCCTAGGAAGAAAAATTAAAAAAGAGCTTCAATTGTAACTTCAGTAAAGCCAGGAATTGTTATTTTGTAAAATCAACATAAATTTTGAGGCGCCGCCATCTGTTATGTTTGGTTCTTTGCTTTTAGCAAGGTGCTTTTGCTCGCTTCGTTTATCCGATACGGCCCTTAGGCAGCAGAAATTCAATGAGGCGGCAGATGAGAGCTTTCAAAATTGTAACTCTATAAACATCCGTTCATAGTATCAAACCAATTCTTGAATTACGAACATGAAAATATAAATACTAAAACACTGCTCGGGAGCAGAAGTCAAGGAAGGATTCACCAAGAAATTCCATGAATTATGGTTGCGCTGCAGCCGAAAAATGTTTAGCAGATTTTTTGTACCTAACAATCCAATGCATGAAATGATAAACCAAAAATGCATTAAGAAAATATCTGCCAACAAAACTCAAGATTTTTAGTGCAAAGGAGGCAATATTATCATTTCTTGTTTGAGATAATTCATTTCAATTTATCTAAAAAATCATTATGAACTTCATTTTTAACATCAAAAATTTTTAATTGTATTTTTTTCTGCCTCTTGTCGCTTTGATCAAATTTTTATTTTGTCCGGAATGTTTGGATGATGCGGTAGAGCAGAAGCACCTGTAAGTATCAATATCGCCGTAACTTTGAATCTAATATCTCAATTTATGTAGACCCGCCGAGCTTTGCTGTCGCACCGGCTGCATACTATCTACTCAAAACTTGCGAGCAGAAGTAGAAGTTTCAATTCAAATGATCCTTTGACAGTCACGCAAAATTGGCTAAGAGAATTTGTAATCAGGCTGATGTCAATTATGTAAACTTATTCAAATTCTGCATGCAATTTGCATCTCTCGTCGCTGTAATTCGTCGTGCAAAACTCGAGTTCTACCATGTTTTGCTTGTGTTGAACTATCAAAATGAAAATATTCCTCAAAGCACTATAAAAAGTTTGTCACGCTCTCGTCGGCGTTTAATAAATTTAACGCATTTTGCCCGATGGAGGAATTCCGTTGTCTGCAGCGGAATGCTGGAGAAAAAGTTATTTTGCCGACCGAGTTTGAGAGCCAATTTTGCAACAGCCGCTCTCTGAACTGGATCTCTATAAAAGCGGGAATAGCTCTAGGCCAAAAAAGTTGTCTCCGTTGCAGGAAAAGGCTGACCTGCGAAGTAGGTCTTTCACTTCCCTCAGCACACAAGCCTTTTGATGCGCGTAGCAAAAAATGATCAATAAGCAAGTTGAAGCGTCGGCTTAAAAAAAAGACATTTTTAACTGACCTTTTTTTAAACAGGCAAAAAAATGAAAAAATTAAATTAAAGTAAATATTACAGATGAAAACGCAGATTAAATTGACAAAAACCAATATAGTGTTAGAGTTTTGAAGGAATAACAATAAAATAAAATAATTTTGGGTTTTAAATTTTTTATTGAGACATTAAAATTGTTGATAAATTTAATATCATCTGATTACCTGCAAATAAAATCTACAAAATATTATAATATTAAAGGGAATTTCAAATGCGCATTAATTAATCATTTAAAGACTATTTACTATGTATTATTTATTTATTATGTTTAATATTATTATAATATCATTAAACTATTTATTATTATAATGCTAGTTACTTAAAAATATACCCTTCAACTTTTTCGCAGCCCTTCTTGTAGTTTTTTGAGAAATTAAAACCCAAAGAAACCACTCGGAACGGGAAATAATTTGATTTAGTACTTATGACTAAACGCCTTTTACGTGGAATTACGTTCCGAGACGGTAGTCATTGCACAATTTAATAAAATAAAATTACGTTGAATGTAATCATATTATACCATGTTGAGGAGCACCCTGTAAGAATTTATATTAGAATAGGTTATCAAGTTTCATCATTCAAAGGAGGCAGATAAATATTGGTTTAAAACTTAATTAAATCCTGCTTGAAAGTGGCGTTTTACTCACCCCTAGGCCGCCGCCACTGAACTAACACGGAGAGTTTCTCTCCCACGGGATATAAAATAAATGTGTGCGCTGTAACAACAGAACTCGCGGTTCAAAATCTTTTGAAACCGACCGCGCGGAAAGTAATTAGGCATGGGTAAGACCACGTGCCGTTTGGAACTGAGAAAATCAATAATATATTAGCGATCCACGCAAGGAACCAAGGTCAGGTGCGGTGCCAATAATAATATTGACAATCAAATCTGAAATCACTTTGGTGGTTGTCAGGCACAGGTGCGTTACGCGCACACCCTTCTAGAATTAACATTGCCGTTGGTGCTGACAATTAGGCCCCTGTAATAATATGGCAGCAAATGCATTATATTAATATGTGTACGAACTGGAAGCATTTTTTTTAAAAGAATTATAGTCCCAAGCCTCGCTGCACAATTTTTAATTATTAAGTTTTTCTCTCACTTTGTAAGAGATTTCAATCTTTTCTTAACATATAACGTCTGAAATTCTCTAAAAACATTTTGATTACTAATTTTAATTGCCCTTTCTTTGACAAGTTGAATTAAAAGCTTGTTAATTTTCATCATGTTTTTGAGCAAATTGCAATTGCACGATATCTCAAATCTACTAATGAATTCTAATTTGCAAGGCACTCTAGAATATACGCATAGATTATGCATAGTGGCGTTTGCATTCAACAATGACAATAGTGTTAATAATAACCTAATTATAGGAAGTCCCATATTATGAAAATTATTATTCAGCACCTGTACATTAGCAAATCCACTCTCCCGTTCGTTGGACACTCTGCGACTGAATTTTTTTACACTATGCGGCTCCGACAATATGAGAGAGCATTCCTCGTTTGTCACTTTCGACAAGTGAAGATAAATTGGACAGAATATCAGCCAATGAAGACGTCGTGACACACAATACTTTTACTTGATTTGGTTCTCAGCTTTCTTCCTCTCTGTCACCCTTTGTCCTTCACAATTTGTAGCAAAGTTTGGTTTCATTAGCAAGTCTTGGGGGGGGGGGGGAGTATATTTCAAACTCATATTAAAAATTGATCATTTCGCTAGTTTTCAAAAATTTATTTTGACATTGTGTCATTTCGTCAGTAAAAGCCCATCTGAAATGTCAAAATTAATTTTTACCCTAAAAAATCTGATAATTTTATGTATATTGACATAATAAAAAAGCCGATTTCATATTGATTTTTTTTTAAATTTTAAATAATTTACTTATTTTTTAACCTCCTTTAAAATGCGCAGTCCATTATTTAAGAAGAAATAATTAAAAAGGAAATAAAATTACTTTCATGCGCATTAAGTTATGAGATTTAGTGAGTGGGTAGAGGAGATCGTCATGATGAATTATTGGATTATCGAAATACTTGGCGTGAATTTGGAATTCCCCTTCCGACGTTTACGATTGTTTTAAGCAACTTATGTAAAGAGGAAAGCTGAGAATCACAGCCTGATGAAGTTTGAAATTTGAGCTGAAGCAGCAATATGACCTATGTTGATAAAGGCTGGCATATCTTTTGAGTCAATAACAACTGCTGATTTCTCAAATTATTTGCTAATTATAGTCATGTTTGCGTTTTGAGCTAAACGTGTTTTCACGAGGAGCGTAAATATACTGCCATAGTTTTGACTTGGGCATTGGTGTTTATATAGTTGTTTAAGTAATGAAAATAATAATATTTTAATTTGAAGGTTTGTGTCTATTAACAAGGTAATAAAAGTATTAAAATTATATGATTATTATAATTTAGTTAAATATAATTGGTTATACACACTGGCTACTTCCCTGCCTTTACTTTTAATAATTTTTTATATAAAATACACTGAAGGCTCAATTAGTATATTATACTTTTTAAATAATAAAATAATATAAAGTATAGGCCTACTCGGTAACGTGGCTACCGTTACAGCTTTTTTAGTGGACTTGGGGACACATTTTCATGTGAAATATTATATATATATATATATATATATATATATATATATATATATATATATATATATATATATATATATATATATATATATATATAATATATTATAAATATAATATTCGTTTGAATAGTTCGATGCCACCCACATTGAACCTTTTCACGTGTTTGTATATTTTAAATAAAAAAATTTTTATTTATAGTTTTATGAATTTTTTTATTGAATCAAAGAGCTATTTGGGAAATAAAAATGAAAGGTTAATGTTTAATAATAGGATATTGAGTGAGCGGTAGAATAAAAATAGTGCGTGGAACATCACATAAACAAACTGTTTATTTCCACTTCATCATAATATATTTATATTTTTAACAATATAACAATAGATATTTTTTTATTTATATCCGAATTGAGCACACAAAAATTTGATACGTAACAGACATTAGATATGGTGAGGACTAAAATGCTCAGGAATTGACTGAACCCTGACTCTAAAACATCTGCGAAATACATTCCCCTTTTTTTTTAAACAGTACACTACAGATAAAGCAGAACCCCTTTTGGTCTCATTTTTCATTGCATGACCTCGTCACCCTCATAAAATTTAAAATTTGATTTAGTTGTAGGTTTTGTGAAATGAAATTACAAACTCACACCGAAATGATAACACGTCACACTGCAAAGTTTTTTTTTTTTTAATTTTCTCTTGCAAAGCGCTGCTTTTGTGCGAAAAGAAAAAAATGAGCTTTTTTGTCCAGTGCATTAATGAAAAGCCCACGATTTTTTTCACAACAAAAGAGACAAAATAATCATACTGTTATGAACATCAGGAGATTTTTAGCAATTTCAATTCCTTTTCCTAAGGAAAAATAAATAAATAAATAAATGCCAATATATAATAATAATAATAATAATAATAATTAAACAATCAGGAGAAAAAATTCATTACGCTCCAAAGATGGGCAGCGCTAAATTTTTACTGTTCTATGCGGTTCTATGGCGAATGTAAATAATAAAGTTTTCGTAAGCTTCAAAATATATTGCATTTATAATGTAGTTTCACAAGACCAATTAATATCTAAAAAATAAATTTCTACAGCCAGCGACAGAAAGTGATTAATTCTTGAGCATACAGACTTTTTCTTCTAAATTTTCTAATGAATATGAGCCCTTTTACATGAATAATTATATTACATTAGATTTACATTGATTGCGTCATTCTTTGTTTTGACATATCGATCCCAATTTACCCTGAATGAGAAGTTTAAAATGCAGAGAACACTGATGTGATGCTATACTAAAGCACAAAATTACATTTATCTCTCCCATGTAACGAAGAAGATAATTATACTATCTTAATTCTTCAAAGAGATCTCGATCCACAGAAAAATACTTGGTTTGCTTTTTTGTTTCTGTTTAAGTTTGTACAAAGATAATGAAGATTAGAGGAAATTGAAATCTAGAGTAATAAATTGATTCTTCCAGCTGTGTTTGAATGACTATTTTCTTCCTTTGTTGATAAAGAAAATTCGCTTTGATCCTCTTACTCTATATTGTACAAATGTGATATTGTTTGTTTAATACAATAATTCCTCAATCTCTCTCTGCCTTACCTCCAGGCTATAGAGGAGACCATTTACAATAGGCACATCAGTGCCGTATTAAACTCGGGAATATTAACTCACTCTTCCCATTTCTAGTTTAGGGCCGTAATTTTGTCTCTCAATCAGCCCGCAATAAAAACAATTGTTCATTTTAGCGTGTAAACTCTCAAATATTTAATCAATTACTATTTTCTTTAATTATAATAATTAACTTGAAAATATTTACATGCTGGGCTGCCATTTTTCATTAGCTCCCATTTTTAAAACTTATGGAAATAATATTGTAATAAATTACATGGAAATTTAGATATAAATATTACAATTTACTATTATTAAACAAAATAGAAATTTTCAATACCCATTCATTCAATACATATATTTTTTTCCATTCTCCATTCCTTTTAGGATAAATATAAATCAACAAAAATATAGAGTATCTTTGTCGGAAGTTAGTGGCTGAAAAATAGTTTTTTTTCCAAAGTCCATAATTCGGTAAATACAATTTTTAATTTAATTTAATGCAAATCACTTTAACAACTGAGCATTAAGAAGCCTTCCAATTGATTAGAGATTAAATATTTCATGATTCGCGAAAAATCTTTTTTGGACGCAATGAATTTTAGAATAAAAAATTATACTTGTAAAATTTTTATAATGACCGGCATTTAACAAACATACTTAAACCCAAAATGAAAAATAATGTCTAAAAAAATCGTTTCAACTCACCATTTTGATCTCATTTGTTTTTGGTTTTTGTGGTTGATACAATGGCAGGAAAAAACTCACGGCACATTAAACGATGTTTCAATGACAACGGTGGCGTCGCCGTTTTTACAGTCTGGTTGCCGAAGGGCAGGGGGTCAGGTGATCCCAGGGGTCAAAGGCTGGTCCGCTGCTGCTGCTGCTCCGTAGGCGACGATTGCTGCTGGTGAGGCCGTGAAGCGCTGGCCCCTTGGGCGGCGCCGGGCGCCGCCACAGCGGTGATGGCCCTGCCGAGCGTGACGGCCTCCGTCGTTCCTCCAAGTCCCGAGACACCCCGCCTCGCCCAGGTGCCCCTCGGCTCGCCCACGGGCTCCATTGCCGTCCCCCTGCAGCTTCTGCAACAGACACACCATTGCGATGCAAAATAAAAACAATCATTTGCAACAAATTTCTTTTTAATTCGTTAACAACAAAAACCATTATAATAAAATAAGGAATGTTTTTTAATTTCATGCTGAGGTAAAAATTTAATACGAGATTTTTCCTTAACGGGTATTTTATGAGTGCCTGGGAGCATTATTATTTTGTGAAAACAATTTTCTGCCAAAGTAACAAGCCACTCACAAATACCCTTTGAGGAAAATCCGCTTTTCAATGCAGCTCACAACATGAATGTAACCCTCTAGACTCCGTTGTATGTTTTCTTTATTTTTCGTATTTATATCGTACCATTCAATTATTCTAATTGGATATTATGATTCTGGTTATAAAAGACTTTAATTCTAAACTCAAATTTCTGAATATCTATTGAAAATATCCTTGGTAAAACACAATAATTTTTAACCATTTATATATTTTGAAATTTAAAATATTAAATACTTGAAGTTTTTAATGAAGGTCTCCATTTAACTTGTTATTTACTTTGGTTTACTTCTTATTGTACTTTTTTTTGGACAAAATATGTATTCTTAAATCAGAATATTAAGTCTGACATATAAAAACATCATTTCAAAAGATCCGTTGCTAGAGGAATATTTAGAGTGAATAAAAAATTTAATTCAAGGAGACTTTTTTCCAACAGTCTAGTTATTATATTTTTGTACTTTGTGAAGCTCTGAAAAACTTTTATGAGTTCAAGCGAGGTAGTTTTGATATGAGAAGGAAAAAATCTCTCTTTTTGCAGCCATGGGCAATATCTTGATGGAAAAGACCAACGGGAATTGAACTTCATTGGGGGTTAGCAGCTTTTCTACCGATTGGTATCGACATTCTAGAAAAGATCGATCAGATTTGACGTCACGTACGCGAAAATTTCCACATTAAAACTTTTGCCAGCCAGAGTGCGAGCAATAAGTAAAAGTGAGTGCTCAAGCGGACAAAATCTTGTACGGTGTGAAACCGTTTCTGAAAGAATAAAGGAAGGAAATAATGAATCTGGTTGCTTTTTTAAAAATACTTTTTTTTATCGTTTTCTTATCACCCTATAATACCAAACACTGCCACTGCCAAAAAAAGTAGAACTAACTGGTTTCCTAAATATATATCTTTGTCAAGTTTTTTATTTATATTGGTTGATAGGTAAAATAAAGCAGCCTTTAAACCAATAAACTTTTTTACTTTTGTGAAAGGTTGGTTAAAAAATGTTGCGTTGCCACTGTGCAATATGTTTTTGTGCCTATGATAATTTAAAATTCAATTATTTTTTCTGTTTAGGTGCGAAAGTGCACGCTCCAAAGCCAAAGTTATCTTTTCTATTTTTATATATTTGAATTTGCGAATGACGTTTTTGGGCAGAAATTTCTCATTGATATTCCAATAAACGTTTGTGTAACCAATTTCAGTAATTTCATATCCCTAGCTGTACCAAGTATCAAATTTACAATATTTTCTCTTTTAGTGTTTTGCATCTTTTCAATATATTCATTGTAGGAAAATGGCCAATACACATCTGAATCTTTATCAAAGCATTTATTTGCTCAGCCCATGCAAACGTAAGGACTTTAATGTTGTGATTATGTTGATGGTTTGCAATACATGCACATAAACGGTCTGCAAAAAAGTGAAATTTGAAGCGAACTGGTACGCCCAACGCTAATTAGCCAGCAAAATGCAAATTGAAAGCAGGCCCGACTATCGATATGGTTGGGAATTTTTTCAGTGCAAAAAAAGAGTGGCAGCAACAAAAACCAGCTCACACAAATGTCGATTTCACGCATATATAAATTTAAATTCGCGAAAGTGGTGCCGGAAGCTCAACATTTTGGCGGTCAGATTTTGCTCCTATATATTGTTCCAGCAATGTTGTTGGTTTGCGTGTTTTTCGCCTAGCAGAATGAAAAATTGAGGAATGAGTCGGCAGGTATGAACAAGCGTTGGCTTTACAAAAAGCGTTTGGTACATTCCTGCCAAAAATTTGTATCATTCTGTAAATTAGAAGTGGGAGAGAGAGCAGATATTTATATTTATGCAGACCGATGTAAATAAAATATTAGTCAAACTTAAAATGCTTTTAGAATAGTGGGGAGGGATTCCAATAACTCGTGTACATAGCCCATGAACCATTAAACAAACAATAATTAGTAAAATTTTACTCTCAGAAAAAAATTTGGAAATAACTTGAATTCACCAAATTATTGTTAAGTAAACAGTGGGAGACGTAGCACTGAAGGAACAGTGAACCAAAAAAATTAACGAGTTACCTCTCTGAATATTATGGAGTTCCGAAATTTCCATTAAATCTGAAAAATCTAGTCAATTTAGCCTACAATTTTTGTTACTCTAATCCAAAATTGGAAACAAAATTAGTTTTCTCTTGGCTACGTAAAATAAAGATATATAATATAAGCACAACTGTCCTAATTATTAATCTTGACAGCATAGTCATTTTTTTTTTTAAAAAAAAGTTTGAAAAAATTAAGTTTTCCTTTTTTTTCATTTAAAACAAATATTGTGTGATACAAAAGCCTGTCCTGGCCTAGACTAACATTATCCACCTTGCAATTTTTATCGCAGCAATAATAAACAATTAGATCTATTCAGAGTATTTGATTTTGATTTGGGCCAAGTAAAAAAAAAACATGCACAGTTCATTACTCCTGACTTAACCTCAATATAAAAAAAACCATCATTTAGATTTAGTGGAGCGTAATTTGTTGTGGAGCAAAGGGAATAAATAGAGTTTAAATTACTCTTGTTCGCGAAAGGGCGGTGCATGCGAGGCGGGACTGCGGCACACCTGAAGTGGTCATGGTGTCGGGCTGTCGCAGTCTCTGGCTGCTGCTCACCTGCGCGGCGCGTCTTACTCGGATGTTGAAGGCGCCGTACACGATCGGGTTCATACACGAGTTGGTCACCGCAAACAAAAACAGCCCCTTCTGGATGCGCTGGTCCAGCTCTGCAGCCGAGTTGCGGTCATACCAGTACCTGCCAAACAACAACAAAAGAAAGGAAAAATGTGAAATGTGATCATAATTTATGATTACAATTTTATTGTTGAATTATAGAAAAAAATATTTAAAGGTTGAAAGAAAAGCAAAACATTACATCACGCAGTGAAATGAGAAAATCATTCATAATAATCATTAAATTTATAATTTTGAGACCCATGGATTGTATAGGAATAACAAATTATCAGAAAAGATCAAATACAATGCAGTTTTATCTATAAATGATTGAATTATTAACAAATATTAGAGAAGAAATTGAGTATGAAAATATTTACTAAAATATAGGTAATTTGTATTTATGAATTATTCATTATCATCAGGGAAAAAATATTTTTTTCCGCTTCAAATTCACCCCAAAATTAATTTTTGCGAATTGCGTCATTTGGATTGAAGTATAATGAATATGAAAAAAAAATTATTACCCCAAACATTCAGTAGAGATCTTTTGATCATTTCTTTTCTAGAATTATTTTGTTCCATTGATTGCCTTAAATACTCATTGATACAAGTAAAAGTGTGAATTTAAAACAAATTAAAATGATTAATTACAAAAGAGTGAAGGTAAAGCAGTCGAAATCAGTCTCAACTCTATTTTTCAGTATTAAACAGTTTGCTAAATTCAATAATAAGAGCAGCTTGCCTTAAAATTTTCCAGGCTGGTTACAAGACCATCATTACTATTTTCAAAAGGATATTCTCAGAAATATGTGGGAAGCGCTCTTTGAAGGAACAAAGTGCAAAGCGGTAATGCAGAGCAAAAAAACGACCCTAAAATGCTCTAATTAGAAGAGTCAGGTGTTTCAAAACATCACCAAAACCCACGTTGCCAAAGCTCTTTCAGGAAAATTAAACAAGAAGCAACAAAATCATTAAAATCAGACAGCCGCACTCTTCTGCTATAGCAAATAATTTGATGATGTTCATCTATCCATGCAACTCCTCTTTTGAGCAATTTTAAGGTATAAAAAACCAATAAGGCGCGAAAAAATCCTTTATTGCTCTTCCATCCAGCAACACGACCCCTTTTGTGATGTGGAATTTCACCCAGGCGGAGTTTATTACATAATAATTTCCTGATTTTGTTTTCTTCTCTCTGCCCGAGTTTTGCGCTTGATTTCACTGCATGCCAACTAAGCGTTTTTTGGTCGATATTTTGCTGGATATTCTCGCAAATGTAGAGCTTCCTAAAGCACTTCCGTGCTGATTGCTCGCAGGAAACTCGCGCGGAAAGCAGTTCATGTTCAATTCTACCATCCCTCTGATAATAATTTACTCCTCTCTGTTTGCGTTTACTGAGAGCCAAATGCAAACACTGAAATCCTCCCTTATTTAAATGAGCTTTTAATCAAAGTGCTTTCTGATCGTTTGCTCAAACTTGATGGACCTTGAAACCTTGTAGAAATTGACAAAATTTAAGAATGCTCACGGATCTCAACCCACTGATTCAAATGCATTTTATAAAGTTGGTTTGCTGCTTTGGAAATTTCAGATAAATGATAAATGCACACATTTATGTGTAAATAATTTTCTTAAACTTATTTTACATTACAAAAATCAGAACCTCAACAATGGAATTTTATTTGTCTGAAAATTTTTAGACCTTTAAAGTTTTTTTTTAGAAAATTTACAATAATAATAGCCTATTGACAGTAAAATTAATTATGTAAATTATATTTTATTCTCCCCTCATCTCATTACATAGATGGCGAGGAAGACTCATTTAGTTCATTAAATTTGTGCCAAGCCTGATATTTTCAAAAATCATCTCCCTTTTAGCAACACTGCGCTGAAAGTAAGAGGGGTCTCAAATTTGGTGTAATTAACAAGGACGGGAGCGCCATCGGTGCAAATAATAACGACGCTTCCCATGTTGGAGAAATGGGGGCCCGTGTGTGCAATCAACGACAAGAGGACCCATTTAGCGCAGCAAACAAGCGATAATTCATCCGAATTCAATGGAAGAGGAGAAATTGGTGGCGTGCTTTTGGGTCGTGCGTGTGGTGAGAGCATCGATAGGGTGCTGCAAACCACAAACTCTAGGGACTTACCAGAGACACATGACGTAATACGGTGTCCAGCAAACGAAAAACACCACCACAATGATGATGGTCATTTTGAGCGTGCGGATTTTCGCTTTGCCGAGGTAGCCAAGACTTGAGCGTCGGATTCTGTCTACATCTAGAAAAATTACAAATATAAATCAATTATCTTGTTTTATCAAAATTTTTAATCAAAAGGTTTGGGCTGCAAATATGAGTTCATTATTGTGGTCTTTAGGGCACCCTCAAATAATAAGCTTTTCAAATTATCTTTCATAACTTCTCGATCAAAGGCTCGCATATAGGCCTGATTTCAAATTTTAACGCTGCGCCGTCAGTTCCCGTTAAAGCACCATAACCAAACCAAAAGTTCAGCTACGCCCACGAAAATATTAAAACCTGTATGCCTTTGGCGTTCACAGAAATTGAGTTTTAAATTGGTTATCGCTGATGCCCGCGGCACGTCAATGAACAGTTGAACACGTAATTTGCTGAATATTCTCAAAAAACGATTTTTGCCTCTGTTTAATTGATACAGTTGAAATTTTGCGCATTGAACGAGGAAAAATATGCATTTACCTCATAAAACTGCTCCATGGTTTCCGCTATCTGAATTTTTCTGATTAACGTTATATTTTGTGAGGTATGAAACGGAATATTTGATTTATGATTTTCGTTGGGCGATTAAAGCATTACTGACAAATGGTAAATAAAAAATCACAATTCGCGAGGAAATTTGCGTTGCAGATTTAAAGAGTAAAAAAAATGATAATATATTTTAATCTGTTTTGTATGGTTTGTATGTTACGTGAAAACATCAGTCCAGATCACAATTGTTTGATTAGTTTCGTGTGCTGGTGTGATTTCATTTGATAAAAATATATGAAATTTAACATTATTTCCTGCTCTGTAATCAAACAACCCCAACGGTTTTCATTATACAGGAGAGTCAAATTTAAATCACCTACATGAAGCAATATTGATCTTTGAAAATATTTGACATTATAATATAATTATATTTGTGCTGATTTCAGTTTCAATCATGTTTATTAATGTAGTACCAGGTATTCTCTGCCAAAATAAACCATTCATAAATTCAATATCTCACAATAATGAATTAAAAGCTGTAGAGACAGAAAAATAGAATTAAATATTATACCATGTTAGGCTTAATATTAACGCATGAAATCCACTTTGCTTAATTAAAAAGTTATTTTTAAATATGTATGTACGTACATTTTGAGCTTTACTCGGTTGTTTTATTTATTTATTCTCCATTCAATACACTGTTGTTGCGCTCATATCTTATCATAAATTATGTATTTCAGCTTATTGGGCATGCGAGCATTTTAAACTTGCAACTATAAATTTCGGAGCCGTAAATTTCTGTATAATTTAAACCACAATTCCACCTTGATGCTCAGAAACAGCAAGTTCCCCTAGGCATTGGGAAACAAATCAAGTGCAGATGAACTCAGAACCGTCTTTACATAGTAATTATATTTTCGTTGCCAATGTCGTAATCTCAAAAGCAGCAGAACGTGCTGCGAATGCACGAGGAAACTCGCATTTTCCATGGCTGCGGGCTGACTGTGAGCAATAAATAAGGAGGCGCATTAGCTTAATTTGAGTGTCAACGTATAACACTTGAGTCGAACGCGCGAGCTATTTATCTTGTTCCGTATTCACACACGACGTGCCTCCTTGGAGCACGCGAATCCACTGGGAATGATAATAAATTTCGTCGGTTCCTGTTGCGGCGGAATTGAATTAATGTAAATCTGAACCCCAGGGATGCGCACAAAAAGTTCTGCAGCAACACGCCGCACTCACTTTCTTTGAGAAACTCGCCCTTGCTCTCGTCGCTCGCGCGTTTATCGAGTTTCTCATTCAAATGTGTTGCGAAGAGCGATATACACCACAGGCGGGCTTCTACCCTGCGTAATTAAGTTTTTGCATTAAGGCCACAGTCCGATTATGGTTTCTTGCCCACCGCGTTTAAAGCAAATATTCAACGATGTCAACAAGGACCAAGATAAGCCAACTAAATAAAATTAAAATATAAATTTTACTGAGGGCGACAAAAAAGCCCAACCTAACTTTTCTTATTTCTTTTTAATATTTCAAATTGCATTAAAAGTTATTTAAGTGAATTATACACTTTTTTTAAACAACAAGAATAAATATTATCAAACTGGACAAAAGGCCTTATGTTATATTTGTAAACAAAAGACCCAGAATACTGTGTGGAATGATAATGCCCATCAGGAAAGTGCAAGTAAGCGAAATTTGAAACTCGCCCGAGTCCCTAGCCAATGCTATGCTGTAATCCTCAGCTAAATTTATATAAATCCCATAATATTAAACCGCCCGGCCTGGAAGGCAACATAATGAAAGCGCCGTTAGGGATGCTGCAAATCCGATTTAGAAACGACTCACTACCAATTAGAGTAATAAACGCGATGTTGAGGCAGCCTGTAACTCTTAAATGATAAATATCCCTTACATTATTAGAGGCACGTTTGAGAGAAAAAAGAGATAAATTAAATGACAAACAGCAACCCAACGAAAATTGTACTTATTTTCTGTTTAAATTCAATGCCTCCTGTTAAAACTATTTAAACAATTGTAAAAATGAACAATGACATCAATAATTATGATTATTTCACGAATTGAAAGTTTTTTTTTCAACTTCTGATATTTATTCCATTGAATATAAGGCAATAATTAACCAAAATTTGGCTTATCATTAAAATAGTTGCATCAATTTTGAAACTTTTGCAAGGCAAATTTCCAATTAATGCAAAATTTCTAATTAATTATTTGCTTAATATTCCTGCAATATGGAAAATTGAAATTCAATTAGTCTCATACAATTGATCAAATTATTCAATTTTTTTTTTTACATTTTCTTCTTGGAATAGTATGAAATTGGCAGGGAGACACATTGTAAAATACAAAAACGATAATGTATAAGAGGAAACGTTTCCTTTAACCTTGAAATAACAGAACTGTAAAATACATTTTCGCAAATTTGACTCCTGATTGAATTTTGACCTTTTACTCATTTGAATTATTAAGATTTAGTGCATAATATAATTGCTTTGACAGAAGAAGTTAATAATGTAGAAATGCCACTTCACATTCTCCAATTTCCAGCCTCGAGGACGTAAAATACGAAACTAACTTAAAATTATAATTCGAGTAAAAATTACTATAAAAATGAGTTTTTTAAACTCTAAAAATACAACAATCACATTTAAAATCATGAAATTAAAAATTCTTTGTAAAAAAAGACCGTTTTACAGTTTCATATCTTAGGGTAGCAGACTACAGCGCGAATATACTAGGGGCTCTTTTTTGCATGAAAAAGATATTATTTTATGTAAAATTATACTTGCCGTTGTCAAGATCCCGGGTCCGTCTGAAGATTTCGGCGATTATGGAAGCGTAGGAGAAGAGAATCACCACAAGCGGCAGACCGTACATCATGATCATTCCAAAAGCAGCGTAGGCGATTTCATGTCTTTCAGAAGGAAATGCGTTGAACGTGACGCACTGTTGATACCAGGTGTGTTTTGGATGCGGCTCAACGTGGAAAATTATTATCTGGAAGCAAAAAGGAAAGTGTGTTTATTTGAGGCCCTACACGTTTGTATTGCATCACATTATCAAACAACAAGGGATTTGAAATCACAAAAGTCCTAATTTTCTATGGGCCAATCAGAAGGTTTTAGAAAGGTTCTAGAGGATAATTTTAAAATAATATAATGTAGGTGCAAATGATAATATTTGCAGAAAATTTTTTGAGCAATCAAAATGTTGTATCTGAATGATTATGAAATAATAATTGAAAACAATTTTATTGAAAGAAAATGACATAAACAAGAAAAAACTTTGGATATACTCTGGGCCTTCCATTGTAATTGCTTTTGGGAAACCATTTTCAACAAAAAGCCGTAAATCAAAAAGGGGTTTATCCTTATTCATGGTACTGAAAACCCCTACCCTCATTTAGAGGCTTTCAGACATTTAGACGTGAGCTCTCCTGATATTTGTAGACGTGACATCGTACCTGCGGAAAACTGCAGACGACGGAGGCGGTCCAGGCTGCAGAAAGCATGATTTTGCCGCGTTTGTCAACAGCCATCAGGCTCATGGGTCTCAGCACGGCAAAGTACCTGCAACATTAGCATATTGCCTTCACTTAGGCACGAAAGCTTTCACGCTCTCGTGGGTTCTTGAGAGCAAAGTACAGCTAGCAACAGAAAAGTACCCTTCTCATTGTCAACTTCCCCAAAATGCACACATAAATATATATTTGCGACAATATGGCACTGTTAGCATTATTCGCTGCAGGAATTGAAAGCCATTTACAAAGATTTCTCGTAAAAAGCAGGTGAGGAAAGTTTTGGTCGCGACCTTTTAGCATTCAATCCAGTAAAAACAAAAGAATCCATTCAAATTAGCACGCGCGTGTATAAATTTTTCAAAAACTTCGTGCCCGCCATTGTTGTTAAAGAGGAATCGAACAAATTTTCACTCTGCCATGCATACAATGTTTTCGGTCATTATTTATAGCTTTTCCGTGGGTATATGGAACAGTAATGGGTTGAAACCAAACAATGCTGCAAATAATCTGATTGTTTGCATGTGTTGTTAGCTTCCATGTGAACTGAAGTGCTGCCAGTATGAGCTGGCCAAGTGCCAAAATTTTGTTCCCTCAATTGACAACGATTATGGAAAATATGGCGTTTTTAAAAAGCAGCAGCTTTTACAAGAACAATCAATAATTCAAAGAAATTTAGATTTCTGTATTAATTAAAATTTGCATGCATTTTGAACTTTTTAATTTGTATTTCTGATGTTGAGAAATTTTTGTAATTGGGTCCGTGATGCCATGCTCATATTAGGGGTTTGCAGCTTTAATGATTAAATAGAGAGTCCGCACAACATAATGTAAAATTAGCTTGGGGGAAGAGCATTATTGATTTTTATGTTTTGCTGTAGAACCGACGAATCCCAAATTTATTTTTGTTAAAAACTGTGGGAAACATCATTATGCAAAATTCTATAAGAAGAAATTTGAAATTATACTCATTTTTTTTTAAATCAAGTTTTAGCGTTTGATTGTTTAAATTCGGCTTTAAACACAATTTTTTCTTAAAGCGCAATCAAAAAGCTGTATTCTTTAATAATGCGAATTCTGAAAACAAAGGTAAAAAATGCTTCATTAAACTAAATAATAAATTGGTTAGCAAAAATCATTTTCGTAAAGTATGGGTGATGCATTAACGCCCGATTCCGTTAAAAAGCAAAATGTATTTTAGACGAGCAGCCACAAGCGAATAAAAAACAAGCTCATTTTTTAGGAATGGAGCCTTTTTTCCAACAGGCGGTAACCAGCAGAAATTATTCATTTTTTTCTTTAGTAAAGAAAAACAGGGTCAAAAAATCCTCAACTGGCGCAACTGGGAGTTTTTAATATTAAAACTCTTGTTGCGAATGTTGCAGACTCTCATGAAAGTAATGAGAAAGAACCGCACATTTATTATTCATTCGCAGAAAGCTCATTTTGAAAAGAATTGTGGAGGATCCTGGTGTATCAAAAACAATCCTGTTTGTGCTTGTCCGTTTTATTTCATCTAATTTTTTTTATTATGTAAGATTTTTGTTCTTAATTTGTTTTTTAAATTACCTAAAAAATAAAACTCTTCACGGGGAGAATTATGTATTTAACAAGAAAAAGATCAGAACTTGAGCCAAAAAATAGGAAAATTTCAAACTTCGCGTCGCTCAAAGCTATATTCGTGTGCCAATTTGCTGGATGCTCACTGATTTTGCTATCTCGCGAGTCCAGACGGAATACGTAGAGAGATAGAACGAGGAGCATCAATCAAAAGCACAAGGGTGGACGTCGCTGTGGAAATCGGCAAACAAAAACCTCCCTCACTCACCTGTCAAGGCTGATGCAGACGAGCACAAAGCTGGAGAGGAAGAGGCCGAATGTGCGGAAAAATGCCATTATTCTGCACATGGCGTCGCCGCCCTTCCATTGTACCGTGATGGCCCAAGCGATTTCCATGGGCATCAACAAAAACGTCACCTGCACACAGAGCATACATGCGTCATAGTATTTATGCGAATTTAAAATGCATGCGGCGTCAAAAAACACTAGTTCAATTCGCAAAGTGCTAAAGGTGCGGCGGGAAAAGAAAAGGCAAGACATATATTATCCCAAAGCGCCAGCACCGGCTGATGGAATGAGCCGGCGGAAAAAGGTCTTTTCACAGCTGTCGCCGCCGCCGTAAATCTGCCAAAATTAAAGTGCTCTTTCTCCATTTGCTTCCACTGCTAATTCTTCAGTGGGTTTAGTCCGCTTGCCACGCAACTCATATTTTAAGTCATTTGCTATTTTTATGTGACGTTATTACATCTGATGTATGTACTGAACGACTGCATCTGTATTAAAATATTATATATTGCACGTTCCTAGTGAAGGAGTTCTTTTTTAATTGTCCAGTGTTTTTAGCAGCATTTGAATAGAAGTGAAATGAAGCATAGGAAATTAAAATATTTTACAAAGGAAGAGAAAGTGCAGAAAAAACAATTTTCATAAGATTGGGAGAGAAATTGAATACAACAACTATAGATGTATGTCAGTGTATTTGACAATTTGACAACAGATTTTTCATCCAACGTTTAAATCAAATTTGTTAAATTCAAATATTTTCTAGGCTTTTTTTTTTTTTTATCAATTAATTTTCATTTAACTTAACTGAATACACGATTTTCCAAACTCTATTATATTTCAAACTTTTTTTATAAAAAAAAATACCCCCCCCCCCCTTTATGCGGAGTATGGTTGGCAAAGTAAGCGATAAAGATAATATACAAAATGTATTTATCGACTGATAGTTCATTCGGTTCATTCAATAGTCCAGCAATAGTTGTGAGAGGAAAGCGTTTGCTCTTCATAATAATTTATAAATTATGCTTGAATTTGCTAGTGTTAAGGGATTAAACACTCATTTTATTTATTATTAATTAACGACAAGAGTTGCAGCCCGTGACCATAATTGCTTTAGCTATGTTGTTTTTGAATAAAATAAATAAAAAGTTCAACAGGGAGAAAGCACGTTTTCCAGTTTAAATATTTTGGCACAATACAAAAGCGACATTCTTTCCAAAAGGTTTTTGTGCCGGAATCAATATCCCCGAAAATATTTTTCCCTTCTTCTAACTTCCAACTCCGTCAAAGAACCCTTGAAATGGAAGATAGCGTGCACCCTTGTGTCGCAGATCTCGGGGCCCATTTCCGAGCAGTCAGTATTGGAATGCTGAGAAGCCAGGGAGGATCACTATATTGTATCTCCTCAACAATTGGATCGTAATTTGTAGCTTCAAGTTCACTTCTTGCAAATGACGCTTCAAAGCAATTTCAATAGACCACGAGGAGCTCCACTTTTTTACAGCAGAGTAAGTGGTTTCAAAACTTGTAGAGCGGCACAAACTTGCTGAGTGCTCATTTGAATGCGAGTCGGGTATGCCATTTGCATAAACCTCAACATTCAAAAAATTCCCTAGAGCTCAAAAATTGCACCCTTATTCTGTCTTGTATGCCCAGAAGATACAATTATAATCAGTATTAAAATGTTATTAGAGTAGGCTTGTAATAAATATAATTATTTAAAATTTACTTTTGGTTTCGCAGTGAAAAACAACTTTTATTGATCTAGTCTCAAACTTTTTTATATTTTGGGATTATTTTGTGGTATTTTTATGGAATTTTTATGCATATTTTCTTCTAAATTTTATCACAAACTCGAGGCAAATGATTTTTGTAAAGCAAAATTTTCTGTCAAATGAAGTTGCCTTGTCGTCTTTGCAGTGCAGTTATAAATTAACAAAAACATTAAATACCATTAATTATATTCAACTTTTATAATTTTGAAAAGTTAACTTGCCATAGAAACTTTTTAGCTTTTAAACGACTTAAAATGCGCAATTTTCAACAAAAATTGGAGCCCTTAGTCTTTAGTCTGAACAGTAAAAAAGTGAAACTTTTCCATTTCTAAACATAAAATAAAAAAATTATTTTTGCATTTATGAGGAAAAAAATTAATTTAATAAAGAAAGCTTACCAGCAGGTCAGCAATGGCCAAATGCAACAGCATGGTGTTGATTCTCGATCTGGCCCCCCGTCTGCGTTGCAACAGCAAACACAAAACAGTGAGATTGCCAGTGGCAGAGATGATGAATAGGATGCTGTAGACAATAACGGAGAGCGCGTGGCCCTCGTTGAAACGCATGTCCAGCGGAAGCTCCGTTGCATTTTCGAGCTGGATGAGCGCGGTTTGGTTTTCGTTCAGGGTTGAAAAATTCCAGTCTGGATAAAATGGTGGAGCTTCGGTTGATACTGCAATGTTAATAAATTACACACAACGAATTAATGTTTCAATTTCATGGTTCATTTTCAATTAAATTCAAATTCATAATTTGCAATTGAAAAGAAATTTATTAGATTTCCTATTTACTTTTTGGGGAGAGACGCCCAATTTATAATTAGTGTCTACCATAGAAATTTAAATTTCCTCTTCAAAGGAGATTGGTTTTTACCAGTTTTTCAATAGTTTAGATTATCAAGAGGAGAAATTTTGTTATGCATCACGATCAAGCTAGTTTATGTTTAAACATGAAGATTGCTTTTCCCCGAATCGTTACTTTTTGTTAACAATTAAAAATCATGTCACATATTATATATTGCATTAATTAAATTAAAAAAAAAATATATTAAAATCAAATTCTGTAAAATTATTTTGATATACAAAGGCGTAAAAATTCAAACAGAGAAAAAAATTATTAAAATAGTTATTTTTATGATACTAGAATAACATTGAACACATCCCCTGATCCACTGTAAAAATATTTGAAAAGCCTTTTGGGCACTTGGAAATTTTTAAAAGCGGAAGTATGAAAATCGCTTTAGGTGTTATTTCAACGTTTTTTATTTACAATTATTCCATCCCTTCACTCTTTTTTTTCAAATCTTGTTTCCTAATTTCCGTGCTTTTTATTTCAATTTCAATTAATCTGCAGCGTGCACTCGCACAGAAGTTGACATGATAATCCCCGCTGGCCACTGATGGATAAAGAAGCAGAGCATCCCCGCGACCCTCATCCAATCAAGTTTCTATACGATCGTGCTGCGAGTGTTTGACACAAGACAGGACTTTGTTAAAGGGTGTCTATCTGGTATCGGTCCTGGTGGCCATCGTCTATATCCCCCACTGACACTTCCTCTGTGGCCAGAAGATTCAGCGTGGGGCACAATGGCTGCGCTCTTATCCCCATCACATCAGCCGCACAAATACTCTTTTTTCCGCAAAAGAAGGAAAAAATCGTGTTAGCCCTAATGACGCAAACGGCTTCTTTTTTTTACATAAAATCCTTAGAAAAGAAAAGGAGTGGTCTTGCTCGCTCTCGAGTTTAAATAATAGAGGTAATTACAGAGACCCCTTTGTGTACAGCGCGGAGGTGGGAAGAAGCCATGCCGCGAATTCGGGGGAAAAAAACGTCTACTTGCCACTTTCATTTAATTCCAACAACACACCTTTCCACGTTTTCAAAGGATTTTTTTCTGCACTTCAGACAAAAGGATAAGCAAAAGCATTTTGCTTATAAGAAAAACAGACAGACTTTATCTCTTCGAACAAAAGTGTTTTTATAGCAAAGAAATTGCAAAGACTCTTTCCGTTCTAGAAGAGCGTTAAGGATTATGTTCGCAAAAATGACAGATCTGCGTCACGTATTCACGCACAACAGACAAAGCGCAGTTTAAAAACACGCGTTTTGAGCTAAAAATAATCGAGCAGGTCAGGTTGATGCTTTTCATTTAGTTGGAGAGAAATAATTTTGCTCGTCTTTTCATGAGAGAGGAAATTTATTTTCTCCAGAAAGCTTTGTGAATGCCCATTTCCACTCCAGTTATAATTGAAAGAGCTGAAAGATAGTGATTTTTTTAATTTCTTTTCTGGAGAAACGCACTAATTGAAATTTTTTATTCCGTTTTGTTCCTTGTAAAAGCAATTCTGGAAATTAAACCCACGTCTTTGACAGAATTCAGTTTTAATATAATTTGATGCTTAAGAAAATTAAACTGTATGGGGAATTTATTAAGGCTTTGAAAAAATTTTGCAATCTCCTTTTTCTAAAAGATATGAGTAAATTTGTTTGATAAATATAAAAAATTTGGAGCTGTTTCTATTCGACGAATTTCTACAATGAAATTTTTTAATTTTTATTAAAAAAAACAGCAAATTTTGATACATTTTCAGAAATATTCGCAATTGAAATTATTCCATATAATTTATAAACGATTTTAAAGTTTTCAATCTTTATAAATTTCAAGCGTTCATTTCTAATGTTAAATTTATTATTTCCCGTGGTGATTTGGATTTAAAATCGGCTTTTCCTCGATGGGTTTTTGTGAGTTGTTTATTGTTTCAGAAAATAAATTATTATTTTCCCCTCTCTTAATTTCATTTCACAGCATAGTGAGGAAAAAATGAACAAAAGAAGTGCTTAATTTAATTTTAATCAATTCGCCTGATTTTATTTAATTTTTCATTTGTGAGCAGAATTTAAAAACTCAAAATCCCAAGCATCAATTGATGAAAAGAAGTAAAAAGCGCTTTCAATCAACCCACGCACAAGCCCAGAACTAAAAGCCTCTCACTCAAAGAAAGCCTGCTTATTTATTTTACCGGTGCCTTTCTTCGAAGTCTTTTATTTCTGCTACCGTCTATTTGCAAAGCATGAGAAATTCGCTGCAGGTGTCCGTCTGATAAAATGAGTTTATTCGCATCAAGATAGGATCGGCAGAGAGGCGATTGAGTGCCGAGCCCCAGTCGATGGCCTTTGCACTGTCAAGGTCCGCGCCTGATTGCGTTTGACGCACTTGCGAGCGATCAACAAAGTGCGACGTGAATAATTGACTCTGTCATTCAGTGAAAAAGGAACACCTGCCGACAATGAAACCAAATCAAAGCATTCAACTTTTTTTTATCATTTTCGGAGATTAAAGGATCGATGAAGCGCAAATAATATCTTGCTTGTGTGTATTTTTAATACAAAATCGAATGAAGCAGATTTCGCAGTCGGAATTATACACTCAGGCGCACGGCTTAATGGAATTCGCAGATAAAAAACTGCCAGCGATGTTTTTTAAAACAGCTTTTCCTGCCAAGCCAGGCTCTGAATTTAAAGCCCAGCTCGACTGCTGCCGGGAAAGTTGTCATGTTTTTGGAATGGAATAAAAATTCAGAAAATTCTATAAAATCATATCACTGAAAAATGCTGAGTTGATATAAAGTTTGCATCTTCTCCTCATTAACGTAAGGAAAAGAGCGGCTGCAAGAAAGTTCTTTACTTATTTGACAGGAAGCAGCGAAAGAAATAATTATCTCGCTTCTTGATCCTACGTTTTAAAAACTTTTTCATAATATATGAAGGCCTGCGATAAAGTTGCGAATCCCCAGATATTAAAAATGCAGAAATGATGAATACAATTCAGCTCACAGTGAGAAATTTCCTTTCAAATTAATAAGTTTGATCTTGTCTGCAAAAACTTTTAACAATTTATCTAAAGTTTGGACTCCTTTCAAATTTATTCATTGCAGATCCTTATTAATCTAAATCTTTGATAAGTACAAAAAAATATATCTTGGGTATTTTTTATGAATTGATTTAACTTTATTTGCTGCCATCCAATCCTCCAAAATGATTGGATTGAAAAATTTGATGTATTATCTCGCATGTGTTCCAGGTTGAATTACTTCACTGTTCATCAACTTAGTTTCCTTCTTTTAAATTGCAAATCAGCTTTGGGTTTTTGAATAAATAAGTTATGTATTTGAACAGCTAATGCCTGATATCTCAAATAGGACTTTGCAACTAAATAAAATAAATCTTTAAAAGCTCCCACCTAAAACAAGCGCATATAAAATAGCTCATTTTTATTTTCCTTTCATTTGTTTGCTAAAAGCTTGACACAATAGGAAAATTTAAAGTCTTGTCTTGATCATGGCTGACGGGTTACATAATCTGCTTAAACTTAATTAATCTGCACATTTTCACAAAGAGAGGAATTCCAGCTACATCAATTTTGAATCCAGTAGGCACAAAATATTATTTATAATGAAAGATATTTAATAACTTATTAAAATTAATTGAAATGAATAATATTTTTTTTTAATTCTAAAGTTATCGCTTAGAATTACAATTCTCTAGTAAAAATTGTAAAATGAGTGACGAAAAAAACTCAGTCAATCTTCGTACACAGTATAGAGCCCTTAAGTTATGAATTTAAATTTTGGACTTTCCAAAATTCTAATTTTTTTGATAAACAAAATTTTAGACCCAAACAATCAACAAACACATGGAAAACAACTCATTGGCAAAAATTTCTGCTCATTTAAACTTATTTTTTTCTTACCCAGATCGGTGAAAATTTCAGAGTCCGCCATTCTAATAATATTTACACCAAAACTGGCAAAGATGGGAGCACTGATTGTGAGGATGCGTTGTCGAACGCAGGACCAAGTTTAGTGGATGATGAGGATTCAGCGACTGCTGCCCTCGGAGTCTGGATGCCACCCCTTCTACCCCCTTAGGTGCGCGGCGCACCCTTTGCTGCGAGGGCTTGCGCGAAAAACCCGTCGCTGGGGCCAAACACAGCGGCCGCTCTCCGCTCCACCACACGCAACAGACAATAAGAATGGCAAGCATGTATTCCTTTTCAACGGACGGCCTCAAGCGGGCAAGCTATTTTCATTTCCCAGAATTTTTATTGTGACCCTTTCAAACGAATTCCTTTAATGCAAGGGTTGACATTGAGATCCAAATTAATTTCCCTTTTTTTACAGAACCAACCAGGTTTTCATTTAATTATATTCATTTTGAACGTCATGGCTTGTAAAGGCTTGTTTAAAAAGTAGGAAAACAAGAGAGATATTAAAAAGTTTTTATGTTCACGAAGATAACAAAAATTTATGGCCAAAGTTCTTACTTCATTATTTCCTGCTTGCTTTCTTTCTGTAGGAGTGGTTTTGATATTAGCAGAAAACTATATTTATTTATCCTTTCATGAACAGACAATAATCCAAAGAAAAGGTGTGTGTGCTTTTTTTAAATAAAATTTTTTGATTTACTGAATTTAAAAAAAAAAATAGTTTTAATTTAATTTGCGTCTTCAAACTTTTAATCAATGGAATTTAAAAACAGTCTCATTTTATATCATTGAAAAAAATATTAGCTGGTGCCTTCTGCACCACAAATAAAAGGCACTGGCCAAGAAAACTTTGACTTACCCTGGCCTTAAAAAACGTTCTAAAGTTTTGGTATTTTGAATATAAAATG